TAGTAGTAGTAGTAGTAGTAGTAGTAACACTGATTGTTTTTTTATTATCTGACAGAAATGGTCATATTTATTGTTCATAAAATGTCATTGAATAGAACAAGCGTATGGTCATGAATTAAAATAGTGAAGATATTTTTGACAACATCAATGGCATTAATAACAAGATCGTCAATATCAACATGATAACAAAATAAAAAAATTTACAAAAAATTTGAACCAAATATTGAAACAAGGTTAATTGCCTGATCTAGATCGATGCCTCGTCGTCTTTTTCACTTTGACTATGAATTTTTTATAGTTAAGAGAACTAATGAACAAAAAAATGAATGAATGAAAGATTTTATGTGTTAATGACTAAATAAACGAATGACAGAATGAATGAATGAATGTAAAGGTAATAGGTAAACAGTAAATATTTACCTCCGCATGTTTTTTTGAACCGGGTTAAGCGGGTTTTCATGTGTTTATTGCATAATATTGTTAATGATTGAAGGAACAAATAAATACCGGATTGGATGAATGAAGGATGAGATTGACAAACAAATGGATGAATAATGGAATGATTTAATGAATCTTATCACTCGAATGAATTTTGAACGAACGAAAACCACGAAAAGATAAAATATATAGATGTTTCATTATATTACTGAAATACTTATGCAAAATTCATTGAAAATAAAATCAGCATCGTTCTTCACTATCACAGCATTTAAGGAATGTTTCAGGTTGAAATTAATGAGCTAAAATTAAACATCGTTGGTTCTTTGGTTACAGGTAATTTTCAGATCAAACCTGACACACGATGATTGGGTTTTGGAGCACTCAAGCTCAAATAATATTTTATATAGCTCTACTTGACGTTTGAAGACGCAATGTTGTAATTGTACCAATCACCCTTAATAATTGTGGATTAGTATTTCTCAGTAATCGATCGGGGTATTCTTTTATAATTGCTTTTAATGGTTCCTTGTTGATGTTTAGAAATATTATCGTAATTGTTGATAATATTTATTTGTATATTCATGTATTAAAAATGAAATGATAGCGTTCGTTTTTATTATTCGCTTATTGATATGCTTTCCATTCTTTGTAAGACTTTAAAAAAATGAAACATTTATGTTTAAAAAGCGAAACACATTCACATCATTAGTAGAATTAAAAAAAAGCAGCTGCAGTGGTAGTAGCGGAGATAGTAGTAGCAGTAAAAGTGGTGATGCTGTAAAAGAATTCAAAAATACGAAAGACTGGTTTAGCTCAGTTTACATTTGTCATAACAACAATTATAATTTGTCATAACCCTATCTTTGAGCCATAATTATCCGCACAATTATTACAAAGGATTGGTATTCATTTGTAGTCAGCATTATTTTTACTAGTCTTTTTACAAAAATTTTATTGTCAGATTTCTGATTATTTAGGCGTAATTCATTTATTTATATTATTTGATTATTATTTGCGATAAATTTTTTTTATAATGAAATTGATTTAGGATGAAATTCTATTGTTTTAATTTAAAGTTGGAGTGGAATTTATCTTATTCCAATTTTGCAGAAATATAAAACACCATTTCTTGTTTGTCTTCTTATTTATTTATTAATTCATTTGTTTTTAAGTTCATTCGTTCATACATTTATGCATTTGTTTGTTCGTTCGTTTGTTCTTTCTTTAATTCATTCATACATCCATCAATCCATCGATTCATTCTCTAATTCATTTTATTTTAACTTACACACATATGCACATCTCACGTTCTGGTTGGCAGATAATTAGCATTAGTGACTGTCTTCAGTCGTTTGGTCATTGTTCATTCGTTACAACAACAACAATACCAACAACAACAACAACGACAACAACAATAATAATAATAAAGAAGTCATTCATTTATTTATTCGTTCGTTCATTCATTCATTAGATTGTTTTTTATACATCTTTTCATTCATTCCCTCATTAGTTTGTTTGTTTATTTGTTCATTCATTTAACCATTCGTTCCCTTTGAGTAGTTCAATCTCATTACATCAACTGACACACCTACGAGTCCTATACAATTGAAACACAATAAAAATACTATTTTAGCACACTTAAACACTCAAGTTCGAACACACACACACAAACACACACATGCAGAGATACGTGCATAATAATAAAATAAATATGCACAAAACAACGTTTATAATTTAATTTAATGTGATAATTATTAAAAAATTATTATTTTATGTTATTTTATGCATTTATATTTAAAAATTGATGCTAATTAAATATTTTTAAAGAGTGTTTACAGCTTTGATGAGATTTTTTAAAAGTTGTGTATGCTGACGTGTGGGCATGCATTTATCGTATGTTAGGAAATTAATTAAAAAAAAATTAGCATCGAAATTTACGCTACAATAGAATTTCTGTGATGTTTTATTCAAAACTTATATTACAATCCCCAAAGAAACAAAACATATTGTAAAGTTTCAACCGATCAAAAGGATACACGCTCAAGCTAGAACTTTTACAGTCAATTGCAGGCGAACTTGTCCAATAAGGGCATGCTTATATTCATATATGTTTATAGAATGGAAGGAAACCATGTTTTGTGCAGTATTGTATTAATTCTACAGAAATGTTGGCATTAATCAATTTATAGTTTGTCTCTTCAATTTTTGCTAATTTTCTTGAAATTGTTAAATTTGTTGGAAGTAGAATTTTCCAAGTTCATCATGAAAATTTAATGAAACTATCGTTATCCAAATTCATCAATCCATATGTTGTACTTCCAATATATATATATATATATATATATATGCATATGCATATTTATGCACATATTTGCATATTTATGTACACATATGCATAAATATGCACATATATATATACATATTTATGCATGTAAATGCATATTTATATAAGGGCATATCTTTGCATATACATATATATAAGCATATCTATGCATATAGTATTATTATTATTAGTAGTAGTAGTAGCAGCATAATCTATAATGCATATATATATATATATATATATATATATATGCATTATAGATTATTTTATAATTTACGATTGTGTGTTTGTATGCGTGTGCGTGCGATTTTATGTCTATTTAATTCACATATAAATGTGGATGTGTGCATATGTGTGTGTGTGTTTTACGATTGTTTGTCGGTGTGTGCGTGTTTATTCCTTTTTAATTATTTTATAGAGAGTTTATAGCTATATTACCACACAATCCAGTATATAAGGACTGAGAGTGATGTATTAGGTCATTCCAGGTTGGATTTTAGCCATCTACTACTTGGTTAAAGTTATACAGATTTTGTGAAGACATTCGGTGTAGTGATAGTTTGAGGAAAATAGAGTTAAAAGGTTGATATTGTTATTCTAATATTTTTAATTTAAAATTATTTAATCGAGTCACTCGATGAAATAATTCAAATTTAGTAGAAACATTGCAAAAATTTTGGGGTTCTGTTATAAAAATATTTGCTCAAAAATTTTATGAAAATGATTCAGCAAAAAAATCATTTTTTTCAAATCATTTTCAAATTATTTCTCAGTTTATACATGTTTCTAAATTTACTTTCAAAAATTTAAATTATATAAATTCAATTTCAAATGACACAAAAAGTGCTGCAATAATTAAAAGAATTAAATAAATTTTTAAAACTGAAAATAATATGATACACAAAGTTTAATTTTCAATTTTTGATGAAAATTTTTCAAAATTCACATCAATTTTTTCAATTTGTGTATAAGACTTTTTTCAGGTTGAATGATTGAATGTTAATTTATTGAATGTTTGAATGATTGAATGTTTAATTTTTTTCTACCGCACATCTTGCCAAATTTTGGGTCGGCTTACAGATTTACTTCACCATGAATGCAGCAAGATAGAAAATTAAGGAGAAAAATGGATGTGGATGAATGAGTTATTTAGGATAGAAAACGCAAGATAAGTCGAGAGATGAACAGTTATAGACTAAAAAAAAGAAGGAAGATCAGAAAAGTAAAAAAAATGAGAAAAACAGATAAAGAGTTGGATTAAGAGAAAAATAGAAAGAAAGAAAAGAAAGCAAAATGGGTAAATGTACATTAGCAGTTAAAATTGTGTTTCATGTAATAAAAAGAACAAAGCAAACACGTAAAAATGAATAAACTTACATGATCTAGGACGAGAAATTTCCTTCCAGCAGTGTATATCCATTAATCCATTAATACAGTAATTTACACATACATACACACAAACATTTACCAATAAAAAAACACACACACTCGCTAAGAAACACACATCCACACACATTTGATATATATATATATATATATATATATATATATATATATATATATATATATGAAAAAAAGAAGGGAGAGAGAGAGAAAGAAAAAAAAACAAAATAAAAGAATAGCTAGAAAGAGAGAAAGAAAAGAAAAAGATGTAGACTGATAAATGTATTTATAATACAAACATTTAAATCCAGACTCGATTAAAATTGGCAGTTGGTTATGAGAAAGTTTGATAGTCTGATGAATGGAATGATCGATTCTGATTGGCTGATAAAATAAGTCGATTGATTGATTGATTGATTGATTGATTGATTGATTGATTGATTGATTGATCGATTGATTGATTGATTGATTGATCGATCGATCGATCGATCGATCGATCGATTGATTGATTGATTGATTGATTGATTGATTGATTGATTGATTGATTGATTGATTGATTGATTGATTGATTGATTGATTGATTGATTGATTGATTGATTGATTGATTGATTGATTGATTGATTGATTGATTGATTGATTGATTGATTGATTGATTGATTGATTGATTGATTGATTGATTGATTGATTGATTGATTGATTGATTGATTGATTGATTGATTGATTGATTGATAAATTAAACAAATCATGAGCTGAAATGTTGTTTTACTTTCTAATCCAGGTAACCATTTTTTAAATTTCAAACAATTAATTTCTAACTACTTTTTCAATTTCATTCCAACCAGCAGTTGGCACTATGGAAAACCACGACGACGACACCAACAACGACTTAGGCGACGATTGCTGGAATGATGATTTCATTAATTTAGATTTTTTAAAAGAATCCGAAGACATGGAAATTATCAGTTTGGATGAATTATATAAACAGGTGATGGATGAAAACGACAACACCTCCACCACCATCTCAACCACCAGCACCACAATCACTAACACCAACACCACCATCAGCAGCCACAACAACAACAACATCATCAACAATGAATGGAACGAAAGCGAATGTTTAACTTCAGATTTCAACCAAGTTGATTTTAGTACACTTAGGCAAAGATGGGGCTCAGATGACTTTACCACCGATATCTGCCTTGAAAACTACTGCACTGCTATTCCTACAGCTGTAAGTTGTGACAACAACAACAACTACCATAATAATAATAACAACAACAACAATGACATCAACAACAACAACAGTAATATTTGCAACAACAATAAGGATGACTTTTTCAGAGAAGTATTCCAGTTTGAGAAAATTAACAAAGCCGTTGTCAAACGTCATGAACATGATTTTAACAACAACAACAACTACTACTACTACAACAACAACTACAACAACAATAGTAATAATAACATTAACAACAACGATATTAATGTCTTCAATACTGATTTGTTCTTTGAGGACAACCTCAATTTTTCTGTCAACTATCATGATTATAATAATAATAATAATAATAATAATAACAACAACAACAACAGTAGCAGCAACAACAACAATGTCCACAACAACAACAATAATGGTGTTATTATCCACAATGACTTTCAACAATTGCTGGTTTCTTCGATGGATGTTGACAACAATTCGGCTGTTGTCAAAGATGCTAATTTTCAAATGTGGCAACGGCAGCAGCAACAACAGCAACATTTAGACCAGCAACAACATCAGCAACACTTGCAACACCAACAATATATGGAAATTCAGCAGCAACAACCACAACAAACACCAAACCGTGAATCGAATAGTCCACAAAAATGTTACCAGCCATTGTTGAAAAAACGAAAACTGGAACAACATTTTCCACAACAACCTCAACATCTTTATTTAGATCTACAATTTCAAAAACAGCAACAACAACAAGAAGAACGGGGACAACAACAGCTACCACAACAACAGCTGCAGCAACTGACGCAGCAGCAGTCTCAGGAGCAGCAGCTGCCGCAACAACAACAGCTGCAACAACTTAGACAGCAACAGTCCCAAGAACAACAGCAGTCTCAGGAGCAGCAGTTGCCGCAACAACAACAGCAGCAACGTAGACAGAAGAAGTCTCAAAAAAAACAGAAATCTCAAAAACAACAGCAAAAAACCCCGAAATCAAAACCAAACTTCCCGTTCCCAGTTTCGTTATTGAGAGGAAAATTTTCATCACCATCATCTTCTAATATTATTATTCCATCAGCACCAGCTCCAGCAGCAAATCGAGCTAGGAACAAAAACAAGAATGAAAAGAAGAAGGAACATAAATCCGTACAATGCGACAAATGTAAGAAATGGTTCTACGACGTACAATCCCTGAAAAAACATATGAGGATTCATCTTGGACAGAAACTCTATATCTGCCTCGTCTGCAGTATATACCGTAGCACCCAATCAACGAATGTTAACAGGCACATCAGAATCAAACATTCTTCTCTCCTGGAATCTCTGCCTCCTGGCGCTTCTCCATCAATGTTAATATATGGAAGTTTACTGAGAAGTTCTCCTGAGGATCGAGTTAATGGCGCTTCAGAAGCTTTCTGAATTGATTGATTGATTGATTAGTTAATTGATTGATTGATTGGTCGATTGATTGATTGGTTGATTGACTAAAGAATGAAGTGGTGGTAACTTTGTGATGTTGTTGGCCATCTTGCGAAAGAATTTTAAATTATTATTGAGATGTAGATCTTACTTATTCATTTTTTGATACATTTATGACAAACTTTTTTTCTGAGAAAACCATGATCACAAAAACTTCCCCATTATTGATGGAGCTTTCTGATATTTTATTTTTATTACTGAACTTTTTTGCGTGTTAGTTAAGATTGTATATAATGAACAATTTGATTCCATTTAATTCCTACTTGATAAACATTCCCTCTCTCTCACTTTCGTTTATTTTACGTATTTTGATGAGCTTCTTGGCATGTTAGTTAAGATTATTTATGATTTCATATTTTTATTTCATATTTCAAATATTTTTCACTGTAATTCCACTTTTTTCTCTCTCTCCCTTTCTCTTTCTCTCTCACTTTCTCTCTCTCTCTCTCTCTTTCTCTCTTTCTCTCTCTCTCTCTCTCTCTCTTTGTCCATCTGTCTTTTCTTCTCTTTTTCTTTTTGAAAACTGCTTAATATTAAACTATTTCGAAATGTAATTGCAAATAAAATTTATTTTAAATGAAAAATGCTCCATGCTTTTAATATGAGAATATTTATCTATTGATGTTTTATACATGACATTTAATCACATTTTGTTATGCCTGTTTCATAATAAAATTGTAATTAGCATCAAATGCGTTTTGTTTAAAAAAAAAACCAATTTCAAAAGCTTGTGAATGAAACTCTCGATACACACAACAGAGCAAAAATTCCAATAACTAAAGGCCAACACGAATAACATGTAAATAACTAACGGTCATTGTTGAAGCTTGTTCAAAATGCAGCAACTCGGCCGAGAGTAAAGCTTCCAAAATTATGAACAATTAGTCGTTAGAGTTCGTTAGGGGATTGCAATATTTCTCCATATAGATGTAGATGAAACTGCAAAGTAGAGCTGCAGATGGTATCGGTGTGATTAATATCTATCTATCTTTCAAATGTTCCATAACTTCCATAATGAAGCCACGTATCATACGTTGCATGCCAGCTGCAGGCTGAAATCCCTGATTTCCCTGCCGACTGTACTATGAGATCTTCAACACATTCCATGTGCGCTGTTCGCATTCGTTCACGAAACCTTCAGAATTTGTATTGTAAATGATTAACTTATACAATTAACTAAATATTATGATCATTCTACAGAACAGGATTTATAAAACAGACTATGTCAATATTCATAACTAGAATACGAATAATTTCATAAAGAAACTTAATCTTGTACCAACCTCTTATGAAGGTAGTTATATTAATATATTTTTATCGAATTTATAGTATACTAAAATTCCACTTACATCGCTAGAGATTAAAATATAAATTTCGATTCTGAGTAGCAGAACGGTGTAGTGGTTACGGCGTTTGATCTGGCTGTAGCGGTGACCGCATTCGAATGCAAAGAGATTTCAGCCTCAACGTATGATGCAGTGGCGAATCCAGAACCATGTTTCAAGAGGGTTTTAAGATTTTGAAATTTGATATTTGATGAACTTCTATTTTAGCTAATTTAAATAATTTCCTTTTGTTTTATTAACAATATTTTAAACAGAATCTTCAAAAGTTTAATTTTTTTAGATCTTGCGGGAGGGAGGCGTTGCCGCACCCCCACTCTAGGTTCGCCACTGGTTAAGTGGAGTGACGATATAATAAATATAACTAATTGAATTTATTGATTTACTTACATAATTAGGAGTTGCACTACAATAAATGAATATATATGCACACACCACATTTTGTGTACTCTTCATTTAAACGCTTCCACCCACAGATCTTAACTTCATTTACATGTTTTCATTTATAGTTAATCAATTTTAACAACTATTTGAAATATCTTAAAAAACATGAATTATAAGTTATATTATAAGTATATATATATATAACTTATGTTGTGGACCTATGTATCAAAGCAAGCACGCATCATTAAAAAGTTTAACGATACAAAAACTTACAATAAAAATCGCAAAATTAAATGAATGGCAGTTTAATGTATCAATTTTTCTTTCACTTTTTCTTCTCTGTCAACATTCACGCCAATAACGGTCGGCACGATTCAGAAATCAGCAGCAAACGTCTCCACCTGTCTCTCCAACATCAGATTCATCAGCTAAACTTCCATGGCACCCTCTGTCGTTTTCCATCATTTTAGCATCACCATCTTCAAACTTTACTTTACAAATCCACTCGGCAGCCTATCTCAGCAGTTTACTACATGCAGCAATAACAGAGGCAACAGCATCAGCAGCAGCAGCAGCAAACGGCAGCTATCTTCTTCCATCTCCCATTCCACCGCTTGGTTTAAAACAAAAAACAGCACAAAACATTATAGAGCCAGTTAAATATTTAATCTGTAGCACTTTTCAATCTTTTGAAACTTCTATAAAGTAATTCTATCTTTAAAAAAAGCTCTCACAAAATTCAAGGCGACATTTTGAATAAATAATTGCTAAGTATTTTCAATTGTAAACAAATCTTACGGTAAGGCATTTTTTAACAGGCAAGTTAAGCAAGAAAAACAAAAAGCACAATAAATAATACGTTCATCTAACAAATATAAATGTTGTAAATTTAATCAACAATTTGTCAAAAGAAGCTGAAACTAAAATAAAAACCAAATGAAAACTAAACATTTATAAATCAATAAAAATGATAAAGATCAATTCGTGATAAGCCAAGAAAAAAAGTGCAAATAAAAAATTTAATTTTTTAAAATTTAATTTAATGTGAGGAGGATTGTTAGATTTTTCTAGATTAGCGTCACCATTTACTTTTTGGTTATTTGAATTTTATATTTCAATTCCCTCCAATCTTCTAATTTATTAAACGAGTGACACGAATAACATTCAATATAATTTATAATATATTAAAAAAGAATTATATAATTTAATATTAGTTACAATTCAATAATTAAGTGAACAATTTTTTAAATAATAATGAATTTAGGCGGTCATAATCCTCGCTAATGGAGATACTAAGTTTATTTTAAAAGATAAATTCATGGGAAATATTAATATAAGATTTTGAATTGAAATTCATATAACTAAAATATTTATATTCATTTAATTAATAAGAAGTTGAATTGAAATTCGAATAATTAAAAAATTATTTTATTCAATGATTATAAAAAAAAATTTAAAAAATAGTAATAAAAATTTTAAAAACTTTGGCCTTGAAGTTGAAAATTGAAGCCAAATGAGCAACCATCTTCCAGCAATACATCAGCATTGACAAAGCAACTTATAAACCTACCTTAAATGTATTTCGTTTAACGAATGATCCACTAATTAAGCTGGCAATGAATATTCACCAGCTCAATATTCTAATAAACAACAAAGACAGTCAGCTAATTAGTAAATTAATTAAATTTCCCTTTATAGCAATTAACTGTTGTGCATCATCATATTTGATGTTAAACTGTAATTACATTAGCACTGCTGTAATGGATGGTATATACTAATCATGACAAAAAAGGATTGAAAAAGAGAGAGGATGGTGTGTTTTCCTGACAATTTGTGGAAAATTTCCAATGCGAGTGTTGTGACTATTTGAATCGCAATTACGTCAAATAAATTCAGGCGGGAACAATTTTATTTATTTTTGTTTAAATATAAACATATATAAATATAAATGTGAATAGATCTATATAAATATAAATTATACATTATACATTATTATAGATTTAAATATATATTATATATTTATTATATGTTTAAATTATAGATTTAAATTATAGATTTCACGTGCTATGTGTGCGTGTGTGTGTATGTGTGTGTGTGTGTGTGTGAGTATGTGAGTGTTTGTGTTCGTGAGTGTGTGTGAGGTGTGAACGAGAGAAAACAAAAGTTTTTGATTGCGTTTAAACATTATTTTTCACAAAGAATTATTTATAAAAATGAAACGATAAAAGTCGTTACTATTAACACATAAGAATTTACAAATATTTTTATTCTTTATATTTATTAATGTTATGATTAATAATATTATTAATATTATTATTGTTAAAATTATTGTTACAGGTAACTTTCATAATCTAGCAAAAAACAACTTTTTGCAAAGTTTGAATCCTGCTACGAGCATTTGTTTTAAATAATTAGCAATAATTATCACACTAATTATAGCAACAGAAATAATAATAATTATTATTCCTTCCTTTTTATTATCGTTTATTAATTATAATTATTCTTTCGTTATTATTATTATTATTTATTATTTTTATTATTATTATAGTCGAAAATATTAATTTACTTAGTGTACATTCTGTACAGTTGTTTAATTTTTTGATTGCTTTTTTTCGTTCTATGTTTTATTACTTCTACCAACTTCTGATACTACGGCTACTACTACTTTCATTAAGCAATGTATAGCGTAAATTAATTAGAAAAATTTAATCATTGATTTATTCAATTCATATACATATTGAATAATATATTTGTAATTTTCTATCCTTATATTACATAAGACCAACTCCTCTTATATTATAACAATCATAATCTTAATTAATTAAATAATTTATTAATTAAGATGCTTTGTTGTTAATTAATTTGTTAACAAATTAAAATGAAGCACCGTTGGTAAGTAATAAACCTGCTTAGATATGTTTTAATTTAGACTGACTGGATTGAAGATGATGTACTAACATTAATGTTTTTATATTATATATCATAGATATTTTCATCACAAGGTTGTTTATTCATTAATTATAGAATAAAAGGATGGCATCTTTTGTTTCTGTATAGTCTTTGCAGATTCTATTGTTATTACATCTGCTACTACCACTACTGTTATGGATTCACCTGCTAAATTTCTTGCTAAAAATATTAATCATTTTATTTTCTTATTATATTAGTAATTTAATCATATGCATTCTAAGGTACTTTTCAATACACTATTGATAAGATATCAATTTCATACTGGTAATATTTGTGTATTTCTGTGTGTATGTGTGTTTGCTTGTATATATATGTGTGTGTGCCTGAATATATGTGTGTATGTGTGCGTGCCTGTATATATATGTGTGTGTGTGTGTGCCTGCATATATGTGTGCATGTATGTTGGCGTGTAGTGTGTGTGTGTGTATAGTTTGTGCGTGAATATGTGTTTTTTTTTATTTTGTATGTTAATTTTTTTCAACAACAAAAAATTTCATGATTTCATTCATTTATTTGTGATCAAAAACTCTGTAAATAGTAACACAGCAAGAAAATATTTTTTACTCAGATGTTATATTTATAATAATTATTCATATTAATAATTATTATTATATAGTTAATATTGATATAAATCATAACTATAATTTAAATCAATTAAAAATTATCTCAAATTTTTGAAGATAGACACCGAATTACATTTTCACCGCCCAATAGAATGCTTTGTATCAAAACCTGGTCACACGGGCGACCAATCAGAAAGCAGCTTCTATTTGAGGGTAAAAAACGTAATTGATGTAACATACATTAAAAAGCGTCTTCTTCGGTTGAAACTTCTGTGCCAATGTAATATTAAAGTTTGAAAATTTGATGTTACGACAGCATATGATTACACTAAGACAGTATAATGTTATTAACGTTACGATAATCTTTCGATAAATTATTTTGTGTTATCTGTAATTTCGTGTAAAAACCACGCAAATCTTTGATTAGGTGCAATTAGGTGTACAGAAATAATTATCGCTTTCTACATATTATTATTAATGAGTCTATATTTATTATTGAATAAGCTTTCGTAAAATAATTTTACTAAAATATAAACAATTTTTTTATTGCAATCCAACTATTATATTGTCATTAATATTAATAACAATGATAATAGAAATGATCATAATAAAATGTAAATATTTTCATCAATTATCTTCGAATTTAATGGTAAATAAAATAAAATAAAATTACAAGGCAAATCTTAAGACCAACCGAACTGACATTTGAGTTGACTGGCCAGAGATGAAGCCATATATAGGTACGTGATGACCATCACACACAAAAAACATACTCGCGCACACTCAAATACCCACATACACATAACACATACACATATACACATACTTTTAAACACAGCTGTATGTATATTTGTTTGCAAATATCGGAATACAAACAAACATTCCTTTGCAAATTTACATATTCATACAAAACTACGCATATTACATACATACATAAATAGAAATCTATATACAAATGAGTGTATACATTTATGTACATATACGTACATAAATACACGCACATGCATATTCACATATATAAACACGTACATACAAAAATACATACACATACAGACAAGCATTTTATTCCTTTTCCTCTGGAGAGCTTTGTACCACAGCTGGCTGATGGAACAAATGTGTGTCTGTTGTGTATATGTGTGTGTATATGTTTGTGTGTATGTGTTTGTGTTTGCATGTGTGTGCATATTTTTGTGACGTAAATTTATGTAAAATTATTTTAATAAACTGCGGATATGTGTGTATATTAACTGCATTGTATGTCATTAAAATTGTGTAGAATTTCCGATGCATTTGCATAAGTTTGTGTATGTTTGGTGTGAATACACGTGTGTACGTGCGTGTTTTGTGGTGTGTGTGTGTGTGCATGTGTGTGCGTGTGCATGTGTGTGCGTGTACATGTTTGTGTGTGTTTGTTTGTGAGT